TTTGGAAACCAAGTCCAGTGGATTTTTTGAACTTTTACGGCATTAGAATGACCTGGATGACTGAGAATCTTCATCAGCAATCATTCAAATTATTTTAAAAGCCTCATTTGACAAGTAGAGTTTGGACAGCAGGGCGGGTTATGAGAACTCTACTGAGAACTTCTTTACTGATGTTTTTGTTAAAAGCCTTGGGTTGAGCAGCTGACTCCTCGTTGTTCAGACACCTTGTGACCAGGCTTTCTACAAGTGATTGCTCTGCCTCATTGCTAAATACTGCACATAATAGATCCTGCCAATTAATATTGACTGGGCTGGTTTCTGTGCCTGCTAATGTTGTAGGTCTCTAAGTATTCTGTCCAATAACTGGGCCTGGTGCAGCACCTAATCACAGAAGTGCTTTGGACTTCAGCCTGGTAAATTATACATTTAACTCTGACATTGGTATTTAGCACACAGCCAAATAAATGGCTAATTTAGCAGTCTGACTAATGACTGATGTGTTTAGTATGTAGACTAATGAGCGAGCTGGAGGCTGATTAGCACTGCTCCACAGAGACAGACCGGTGTTGTTTACTCATTTCATTCTCAGCTGCCTGACACTGAAAAAATGACTGGGAGTTTGGCAGGCACAAGTGTATCTTTTATACATTTGAGCGGGAATACGAGTGTTTGTTGACGAAAGCAGAGGGAAGTTGAGACTCTGTGCTGTTGTGGTTAATTGATTTTTGTGAGATTGTCTCTTTGGAAGCTGGAGTGACACTCAGTGTTAATGACTTACTTCATTTCTAAAATGTAGCCTTTCATTCAGGCTTTTAAAGGGAACAACAGACAATATTGTTTAACGATACGTCTCACTTTTGAGTTTATCTACCAGTTGTTATCAGATGTAAATAAATGAATAAAAGAGGAAATATGTGCTTGTTTCTGTATAAATTGTGTCATGGAATGCTGAATTGAATTCTTAGACTTAGACAGATTTATTTTGTCATTTGTTATAAACAAGTGTAAACAAAAATACATTTTGTTAATTCAGTTTACAGTTTGTGCACAACTCTACAATATTTACCATCTATCTATCTATCTATCTATCTATCTATCTATCTATCTATCTATCTATCTATCTATCTATCTATCTATCTATCTATCTATCTATAATTATAGGGGAGTGGCGGCCTAGTGGTTAGGGCATAGGGCTTGGAATCCTGAGGTTGTGAGTATGAAACCCCCTCCCACAGACTGCCACTCTGGGCCTCTGAGCAAGATCTTTAACCCCAGGTGCTGCACAGTGGCAGCACACTGCACCCCAAATTGAATGGGCTAAATGCAGAGAGTTAATTTCTCCATTGTGATATCAATACAAATCAATTTATTTATTTATTAGATTTTGTCAGTACAGT